TTTTGCGTGACAGAGTCTTGCTCTGTCACCCCAGGCTGGAGTGCAGTGGTGTGATCTCAGCTCACTGCAAACTTTGCCTCTGGTTCAAGCAATTCATTCTCCTGAGCAGCCTCCTGAGTAGCTGGGACTATAGGTGCGTGTCACTACCTGACTAATTTTTGTATTTTTAGTAGAGACAGGGTTTCACCATGTTGGCCAGGCTGGTCTCTTGATCTCAAGTGATCCTCCCGCCTCAGCCTCCCAAAGTGCTGGGATTACAGGCGTGAGCCACTGCGCCCGGCCAGGTGAGTCTTTTTAAAGTAAGATTCTAATCGGGTTTCTTTGTTGTCCCTCGGGCCCCAGCGGAGTTAATAAGTAGTCTGAATAAATGGCCTGGCATTCACTAGACCCTGGCCCCAGCCTGCCTTCCCATCATAATTGTGACTCTGCTTCATCCCTTTGCTCCAGATACACCGGGCTGCTTTCCAGGCCCCTAGCATCCTCCTCTCTGTCTCGGTGCTTTTGTTCCTGCTGTTCTGCCTGCCTTGGATGGTCCCCTTTTCAGCTCTCCGTAGTGCAACTCACTGTCTGCTTAAAGCATTGGCCAAAGGACACCTCTTTGAGAATGTCATTCCCTCTTCTGAGCTCCCGTGCCTGTTTCTTTGCAGGCACTTGAAACAGTCTGCTGCTTAGCCTTGTTATTTCTCTTTTGGTCTTGGTTTCCCTTAGGGTGGGTGTGCAGTGGTTAAAATCACAGATTCCCTAGACCAGGACAGCCTGGGTTTCTGTCTCTCTTCTGTGGTTTCCTAGCTTATCATTTCTGTGAGCTTCAGATGGAGATATGCATTTTACCTCCCCCTGGGTGGCAGTGAGGACTGCGAGTTCCTGTATATGAGGTGCTTGAATCAAGTGCTGTGTAGGGCAGGATCCATGTCTGGTTATTTTTTTTTTTTTCTTTTAGAGACAGAGTCTCGCTCTTTTGCCAGGCTGGAGTGCAGTGGTGCGATCTTGGCTCACTGCAACCTCTGCCTCCCCGGTTCAAGCGATTCTCCTGCCTCAGCCTCCTAAGTAGCTGGAACTACAGGTGTGCGCCACCATGCCCATCTAATTTTTGTATTTTTAGTAGAGTCGGGGGTTCACCATGTTGGCCAGGCTAATCTCAAACTCCTGACCTCAGATGGTCTACCCTCCCCAGCTTCCCAAAGTGCTGGGATTACAGGTGTGAGCCACTGTGCCTGGCCTCCATACTGGCCTCCATATCTGATCGATCGTCATTGCTTACTAACTTCTAGTCACGAATTTTTTTTTTTTAAAGACGGGGTTTCACCATGTTGGTTAGGCTGGTCTTGAACTCCTGACCTCAGGTGATCCACCCGCCTTGGCCTCCAAAGTGCTTGGATTACAGGCGTGAGCCACCACGCCCGGCCAAGTCACGAATTTTTGTTGATTAAATGAAACTGTGGAGTTTAGTTAGACCCTACTTTATTATGATTATTATTTTTTTAGAGATAAGATCTTGCTTTGCTGCCCAGGCTGGAGTGCAGCGGTGTGATCCTGCAGCCTTGAACTCACAGGCTCAAGCAATCCTCCCACTTTAGCCTCCCAAGTAGCTGGGACTGTAGGTGTGTGCCATCATGCTCAGCTAACTTTTAAATTTTTTAGACATGGGGTCTCACTGTGTTGCCCAGGTTGGTCCTTGAACTCCTGGCCTCAAGTGATCCTCCCTCCTTAGCCTCTCAAAACACTGGAATTATAGGCGCAAGCCCCTGCACCTGGCCTACTATTGTTTTTCAGTGTTTTGTCATTTGAGTGTAAATAAAACCTTTCTTTCCCCTTGAAATTTTAGAGATGGAAGCACTTTATTTATTTATGAGTTGCTCACCCACACATATAAACATACTATTTTAAAACCTGTATACATACTTTTATATATATATATATATATTTTTAAAAAACTGCAGTATGTACATAAGCTTGCCTTCTCTAAGCATACTGTTCAGACTTTCGACAAATGAGTAGCTTCGTGACTGCCCCTCCTTTCTCCAGCCCCTGGCAACCCCTGCTCATTTTTCTGTTCTTACAGTTTTGCTTATTCCAGAATGTCTTATAACTGGAACCAGACAGTATTCTACATACTAGTTTTTAATGATGCAGAGTATTCTCAAAATAGAGTTTAACTATAGATAAAGTGCCCACTTGAACAAAATGCCTGGAAAAAAGCAACCACTTGATGAAAGCTGCTAAATGATTCAGCAGATCACAAGTTCGATAGGTTTCGCTTTCATTGATTAACTCAGGCGCTGCAGCCATGACACTGGCTAGCACTCACCCCATGCCTCTGCCCAGAGCGGCGCCTGGTACTGTTCCGGGAGGGTGGCCTCCCTGGGCTCATTCTGTCCTCACAGTGGCCCTCTGGAGGTTGCTGTTCCCTCCACATGCACAGTCTGAGGGTGAGGAGATGGAAATAGATGTAAAATGAGGTAAAAATGAGGAATTCACTTTTTAGCCTTGAAGGTGTCAGCTGGGTGTCTTTGGCATCTCCTCCTCTCTGGTGGGCAGTGATTGGGTGGCCGCCTCCTCATTGCCACTGTGAGCAGAACCTTCGTGATGCTGGCCACATGACTTACAGGCACTGGCTGTGTGAGTGTATCACGTGGTCTCTACTCTGAAGCAAGCGTGGGGAGTGGCATCCACTGAAATTGTTACATATCCCTTCTGTTTCCTCCTCTCCAAGGTCTTTGTCTTTGGCGCACTCACAGAATGGCTGCATTTCTACAACACGTGGCTGTACTGCTGCCTGTGGATTGTGAACGGCCTGCTGCAGTCTACTGGTTGGCCCTGTGTGGTTGCTGTTATGGGCAACTGGTTTGGGAAAGCCGGGTATGCCACTTCCTTCCTCTCTGATTTCTCTGTTTAAGTGGTTTCCATGTTGGATTTTTCAGACTTGTCAAAGTCAGTTACTTTGATGCCTTAGATACCCCCTACATCTTTTGTTAGCAAGCCAGGAGTTTAGGGAGAGAGGGTTTCACGTTAGTGTCCGGCCCAGGAGACATATTCCTACCATTCTTTGGGCTGTGGGCAGATTCTGAGTGTGGGCTAAGGCAGGAGGTCTTAATCTTTTTCTTAACTCATCGTTTCTTTAGGGAACATAAAAATCTCATTTCCTATCCATCGTGTATCTTCCTTTGGGTTTTGCCTTCCCTGCCCTTTTTTGAGAGCGATGTTATTTAACCTTTTTACATTAAATCAAGATAAGGAAAAAGAGGTCAAAGGTTGTTCACCTGCCCAAGGTCACGTAACAAGGGGTCTAATAAGACTCAGATGAAGAATGCCAGACTTTGAGACTTGATCAAATGGGATGTTTTTTTCCCCTAAACCTTCAAGTAGTTTTTTTT